GTGGCCGTGGTAGACTAACCTGCTGACATGCTTATGAATTGGCGCTACTACAAAATAAAATTGAATTGAATTGAATTGAAATCTTACATGATTAGCCTGCTTCAGTGCCTGCCCACCAGATTCGAGTTTGAAGGACTGATTAAATAACAGAAAAGTCAACTATACTTTAGCCTCGCTAACATTGGTGTTATCGTCACTAATCACCGATTGTGCAAGCAACACAGTTGTATCAAAACAACTACTAACTGACAATAACTTTATTTCTATTTACGCCAGAAAAAAACTTCTGCAAACAGCCGCAATGACACACTGTACTCACTGTGCAGAGTTGTTATATGGCTCACCAGCTAATCGGTAACTTAGTCTGTTTGCCATTTGTGCTGGGCGGGTTGTTTACAGTGGAGGTTTCAGATGTTTCTTAGTGAAAACAACTGCGGCCCCATAAGAGCAGAGAAATGAACCAAACACCATTAAAGTTGCAGCTTGTAAAACCAAATCAATTAGTTAGAAGACTAAAACGTTTTGTGGAAGTGAGAAGAACTGCAGAGTCAGATGATGTATGTCTTGGACAGGACCCTTTCACATACAAGTAGTCATGTGATCCGATGTTAATAAAAAAATAGCAAACATTGATTGTAGCAGCTTTAACAGATACATCTAATATGTTTAAAAAGGATTTAATAGTGAAAGACCCTGAGCTCCTTGTTTCACTTTGCCTTTAAAATGCCTTTAGAGTAATGGTGATTTTAATCTACCTCTGAATATTTCATTTTCATCCCCACACAAGCCATTAGCTACAGTGGGGAAAGGAGACACCCTTAATGAATGGACAGCCTGCAAGGACCACTGGGCACTATAAATTGATACAGTCTTCATTCTGCACACAGTGTCGGACCATCGATAAAAAGGCGAAGCTGCATTTGATAGGAGACCCTTGTTCTGAGTTATGACTGGGACACAGACTTACTATCTCCTTATGATAAGAGAGGAGAGAGAGAAAGATATCAGGCAGGCCTGATTGGGAAAAGATAAAAAAGCAGAGGGAGAAGCCTGTGTGTACATTGTGTGGGCTAGTGCATAATGTACATGTACAGTGCAGCATGTGCACAGGGAGGCGTAGCAGCGTGCCTTCAGGAATTACATCAGTTTGAAAATAATGATGATCATTAGTGATGGCATAATTGGTGTTAGAAGCTTATTCACTCCAGGCCATTGAAACAATGGCATATTACACTGATCCAGGTTTTTCAATATGATGCCTTCAATTAAATCTCTGGGCTTTTATGGTCAGACTATGAAGGAAAAATCAGAGGGCGTTTTTGGAAGCAGACTAATTTTGATCTAGAGTAAGCAGGCAAGTAGAAAGAAAACTGAAACTGAAATTCCTTTTTCAGCTTGGAACAATAAAGTGAGTTTAATATGTTTTTTCAATTCTTAAAAAGTCATCTACTCCTTCTTCCTTATTAAAAATTCCAGAATCTGTGAATATGCAAGTTTGCCTGCTGGATACAAGATGTCTTTTACTTCACTATATTCTCGGAATAGGACCCGCCCCTTAAAATCAGATTTTTACTGAGCACAGAGAAACTTTCCACTTCCAGCTGATGAATGTGAAAACATCCTTCTAGTGTCAAACTGTGCACACATCATTCTGCACAGTGAAGCTCAAACATCCCACTGTAGGAACAAGATAAGAACATATTCTTGAGTGGAGGGGGGCTTTAAGTTATCTGCATGGTGGACTGTGGTTAGATGTTGAGACAAGTTGAATATATTAAATCTCTTTTCTCTTGCTCGTAGCTGGCTACGTTTCTGACTGACAGTTTCAATAAAGTCTGTTTCTGTTTAAACCAGAGCCGACACACTCGAGGAGTGACATGTTTTCTAGTGCTCTTGTACTGTAGAGTCACAAATCAACAGCAAAATGCAAAAAAAGGACTGGATAGCCATTTCTGAAAAAGCTAGTTCCAAAAAATAACACAATCTTCCATGTAAAAAAGAAGCATTATCAAACATAATTCAATGTTCAATCGCTACCTTTGGCAGGTAATATACTCAATAATAATAAAGTCTACAGAAGCTGTTCTCATAAATCATTCTTATCTTGCTCAATGTATATATATTTTGATAATGTTGTCTTTAAGGTCATGAGGTCCTGTATGATGATAAATCAGTGACATTCCAACAGCTTAACATTGTATTAATTACTAAATAATGTTATTCAGAAAATCTATGTATGTTAGGTCTGACTGTGTTTCGTACTCTCCACATGTCTCCTATTTCTCTTCCACAGTTTTTCTTCTTTTTTCTCTTAATCTCACTCTCTTTCGTTTGATTCAGCTCAATCATTGTGTCATTAAATATCTCTGTGCTGAGCTAAACTTTTCCATACTGAACACAATAAAATCTTTATGGAGAAGGTCCCCAGACCCCCATTCTCTGCTCTTCACTCTTCTTCGCTGTCCTCTTTTCCAATTTTCTCTTTGTCTTCTTCCCCAGAGCTTTGTGTACCAATTTTTGTTATAGCCAACAAGGACAGAAAAACTTTTTTACTATTTTACTGAGCTGTCACTACACTTCCGAGGATATTATAAAAACTATTAGATAAGCACAGTGGCATTTGACTCTGAACACGCTAGAAATGGCTGATATGGGGAGCCGCTTCAAAATATTTTGTTGTGGGCTGCTTGGCTATTTGTTGGAATGCATGGTAGTCTTTTACATATCTACACTACAGAATAGTATATTGTAATGTAATGACAAACAACACACACAGTGAAAAACAATATGTACAAATCTTACAGGGGTTTAGCAAATATAAGGTTAGCCACGGCCACTTTATACAAACCTGACTTAAGATTTAGCAGCATCTAACAGCAGACCAATCCAATATCCAATTAAAGCTGCAAGCAGCGATGAACGGGCCCTTGCACTCCACGCAACTCGGGGTGTGCTGCGGCCACGTCATGTGCCGTCGTAACACGTGCGGACAACAACATGAAAATTTCACGTAAATCAGATCAAAATCGCCACGCACTTCCTGTTGCCAGTAGGTGGCGCTATCACTATATCTGAATATTATCACATAGATGTGTTCAGGGCGGGACTCTTATCAGACAAGTGAAGTTTGAATGGACAATGTACACTCAAGTTATAGCAAACTCGTGTTTTGTGGCAAAATGTTCAAACATTTTTCAAAATGGCTGACTTCCTGTT